ACCCTACCAGGAAGACCTCCCCGGAGGTGCCCCAATACCTTTCCTTTCCCACAGATGGCTCCGCCAGCCTGCTGCTGCCCTCCCGCCCTGCTCCACCCCGCCAGGCCCCATACCTGGTTCCCGTAGAACTGTGGGACTGGGGGCAGCCGGCACTGAGCAGCACTGCCACTGTGACCGTCAGTGTATGCCACTGCCGGCCTGATGGCTCCGTGGCGTCCTGCAGGGCCGAAGCTCAGCTCTCACCCACTGGGCTCAGCACTGGCGCCCTGCTTGCCATTGTCACCTGTGTGGGCACCCTGCTTGGTGAGTCGGGCCACAGCAGGACATAGCAGTGGGATGAGGGCTCGCAGGGGTTACGGAGAAGAACCAGGTTCCTGGACATAGGGCTTGAGTGTCCCCTTACACCTGGGTTTTCCTACCACCTGCTGTGTTCGGGAGGAGAACTCTGACTTCATATCCTTGATCTGCAAATCCACAATGATTGGTTTAAAAATTATTTTATTGAACCCGTATTCTGTGGCAGGTGTGGTGCGGGCACATCACTTGTGGTATTTCACTTATCCCTTCAAAAACCTAAAAGGTAAATATGTTTCCTCTGATTTCCACTATACAAACTAAAGATCGAAAGGGTTCAGAGAAGGCAGGCAACTTCCCATGGTCAAACAGCAAGTAAAGAGTGGGACCAGGATTCAGACCAAAGCTGTCCAGTTGTCAGGGTCTGCTGCCCCCTCCATCCCAGCCCCTCCACGTCCTGCTCGGAACATCCCCCGGCTCAGGCCTCTGTGCTTTCCCGCAGCCCTCCTGGTGCTCTTCGTGGCCCTGCGGCGGCAGAAGCAAGAAGCACTGATGGTCCTGGAGGAGGAGGACGTCCGTGAGAACATCATCACCTATGATGATGAGGGCGGTGGCGAAGAGGACACCGAGGCCTTCGACATCACAGCCCTGCAGAACCCCGATGGGGCGGCTCCACCGGTGCCCGGGCCTCCTGCCCGCCGAGATGTGCTGCCCCGGGCACAGGCCCCAAGACACAAACATCATATACTATGATTCCATTTATGTGAGATATGCAGATTAGGTAAAGTCACAGAGACAGAAAGAAAATGACTGTTGTCAGGGGTAGAGGGAAGGAGGGACTATTGGATGGGTACAGGGATTTCTTTGGGGTGAGGAAAATAAGGGTGCCCCCGTACGACTCAGTGCAGGTGTATGGCTACGAGGGCCGCGGCTCCTCCTGTGGCTCCCTCAGCTCGCTGGGCTCTGGCAGTGAGGTGGGCGGCACCCTAGGCCCTGCGGAGCCCCTGGATGACTGGGGCCCACTCTTCCGCACCCTGGCCGAGCTGTATGGGGCCAAGGAGCCCCTGGGCCCCTGAGTGCGGGGCAGCCCTCACAGGCCCTCTGAGTGAGCCCCCAGGGTCCAGGCAGGTGGCAGCAGCCCAGAGGCCCAGCCTCCTCCCGCCCCATGTCCCTCCTCCCTCCCAGGGCACCCTCTCTCTGAACCCCATTCCTGAGTCGTCTGTGTGTCTCTCCAGGGATCTCTGTCCAGGTCTGGGTTTGTGGCCCTTGCCCTGAACCTCTCTGCTTTCTCACTGTGACTCCTTCTCTGTGGCTGTTTCTGTCTGTGCGTCTGAGTCTGGCACTGTCTCCCTTGCCCACACACATGCTGTGTCTCCCTCTCCAGCCCTCATCTCCCCTCCTTTGCTCTGGGTCCCTGTAACTGGTTCTTTGGGTTTTTTTGGTTGTTGCTGTTCATTCCAAAAGCAAAAGAAATTTCCAGCCACTGCTGCCCACCCTCCTGCAGGGGATACTCTGCCCCAGGTCAGTTCCCCAGGGTCCCTGGGCAGGCGGGTAGGCAGAGCCGCCCCCCAGGTCTGCCCCTCACCACCATCATGTCCCTGTCCTCGCAGACCTGCCCGCATGGTTCCATCCATCACTCATGGCCTCATCCTGGCTCTACCGGCCTCCAGCAGAAGGAGGGAGCTGCCCACCTCCCAGGGCAAGAGCTTCAGCCCCACTGGCTGCCTCCCTGGAGCTCTGCCCAGCTGTCAGCGAGCCCTTGGCGACCCCAGCTCTGGGCATTGTCTTGTGCACTTTCCAGACCCCAGAGGAGGGAGACAAGAAAAGAGGGAGGCAGCTGGGGAAGGGGAAAGAGGGAGGAAGGGGAGGAGCCTCCATCTCTAATTTCATAATAAACAAACACTTTATTTTGTAAGACCTGACCATGCTCGTTTCTGCAGGAAGATTTCTGGACAGAGATTCATTTGCACTGAAGGATGGGAGGACAGGCCCAAGTTAGACCCCGGCCTTCTTCCCCTCCCCTGCCCCAGCTTATTGCTTCTCCTTGAGGGAAGCCGCTTCAAAACCCTCTATGGCAGAGGAGGGTTTGCCTCCTCCTTTTGGACAGCAAGTACAGCCCCATTCCCACCCCACCACTGACTCTCCAGGTTCCCTGCCCTGCTGCTAGTCTCAAACTGTCCAGGGAAATGAAGGTGGGACTTTCCAAGAGGGAAGGAAAGGCAGAGGAGTACTGGGTAAGAGCCACAGAGGAGAGAGGAGGAAAGATAAAGACTCTAGGAAGAGGGGAAGAGAGGGTTCCAGGATTGGGAAACAAGTGGGTGGGTGGCAGCAGAAAGGGGCAAGTGAGCCTTTCCTGGGGACTGCAGTGCCAACTGCGGAAGGGGTGGGCCAGAGCCAGTCAGTCACTGAAGCTGGGTCTGCTGCTCCCACCTTGAATTCTCTCCCCAGTCTTGGTCTCCGTGGAACACAAGGGAGAGGAAACGGAGAGGGGCTACTGAGGGCAGAATGAAGTCCCTTGGGGTGGGAGCCGAGGGGCCGTGGCCAGCATCTCCACTTCCCACTCCCTGAGGCAGGGAGGGGTCTGGCCAGATGCCAGCTCAGGAAGCTGGCCTCCTCCAGGCTGGGACCCTAGAGGCCTGTGGGAGTGGGGCAAGCCTTCCTTATGTGGGGTGCTGGCTATTAGGGAAGGCTGCCTCCGTAGATGCCTTGCGCTTCTGCTGGGTGGGGGAAGACAAGGACTCTCACTGCAGTGCCAGGTGTCATTTACTCCTGCGAAGCTGGAACACCGCACCACTGACAGCCAAAGGCCTCTGGCAGAGCAGGCTGTCCATCGCCCTAGCCTCAGGAAACTGGAGGCAGCACTATCCCAAGCGGCATCAAAGAGAACGAGGTCATCCAGTTTAGGGCAGGAAAGACAAGATCTCTGCCCCTCTGCTCTCACCTGATACCTGCATCAAACCTTACTGGAGCAATGGAGGAAATGGCTCATGGCCGCTCTTAGACAGAGGGTGCATTTAGAATGGGATGTTGACTTTGTCTGACCAGCCCTCCCTCATATCCTCCTGAGATCCTCTCCCAACGCATTAAAAACTTAAAGGATGCCTAGAATCCCAGCACTCTGGAAGATTGCAAGTTCAAGGTCAGCTTGGATTACATAGCAGGGCCTTATATGAAAAATAGGGCTGGGGATTTAGCTCAGTGGCACCATGCCTGCCTGCTAAGCACAGGTCCTGAGTTTGATCCCCGGTTCAGGGGGTGGGGGTGGAAAGCGGGTATTAGCTTTTTCCTTTTAAGTTTTTACAGACCATAGGAAAACAGCCTTGTCAGCAGTACCACCAGGCTTGTTTCTGCCCTCAAATACCTCATTTGAAAGGACAGATCCTGTCAAAGGTAGTGAAGGTGGTCAGGGCTATGGAAGGAAAAAGGTGGGAAGAAGGGGGGTAGAAGAAGGAGATGCGAGAAGAGGGAGCTTCCCTCCAGTTCTGCCCTCTCTAGGTTCAATCCTCTTTGTCCACGTGGTTCACAGCAGCAGGGTCCCACATCCCCAACCCTGAGGCTGGGAGTGGGCAAGGGCTGAAGGAGGATGCTGTGGAGGCCACTGGCCAGATCCTTTGGTCCTGGCTTGCAGGCTAATCCCTGGTACTGGGCACCTGTGTCCTCTTCCCCAGTACAGCTTCCCCCCTGTCCCCACCACTTCCCTTGTTTTCCCTTCTGGGGCTCCTTGATCCTTCCTTTCTCTTCCACAGACACCTCCTCAGACAGTCTAGAGGTCTCTGGTAGAGCCAGCTCCTGCTCAGAAGAATTGTTAGCCTGAGGGGAGGAGCATTGTTCTGGGGACTGGGATGACAGAAAAGAAGTTTCAGGAACCTTCCTTCAGGCCTCATCTCCTAGGCCAGCCCTGCTTTCTGTCCCCTGGTCTGAGGAGAGGGCAGTAGCCCTCCTGGATCTGTTAGCCTGAATCCAAGTCAGCCCTCACTTCTAGAGGAAGTGGGCAGGAGGGGAAGGAGAGAATGTGCTAGCTGCATTTCCCCCCTGGCACAGCCACCTTTTCTTCATTCTCCAAAGACAGCACCAAGGAGGAGAGTCTGGAAGGAGAAAGAAAACATCTAGCATGACAATGACAGGCCCAGAAGGGTAGAGAGCAGGTATGAGCTGTGGCAGACATGGCAGGATGAGACTGGAGTAGAAGCAGCTTCCCCGAGCTACCCCTCCAGGGCCTATGCTCCTCAGTGTTCCTTCGCCTGGCCACTAGGGGCCACCAGGCAAGGGCTTGGCCCAGCTACTCTCCACTCTCCTTCCACATCACTCCCCAGAATCCAGGGAAGCTGGGCCTAAAGCCTAGGCTCTGCAGGGGGAGACCTGGATCTAAAGCCCGTGGCTGCCACCTATGGTGTAACCTGGGCAAGTCCCAGGTTCCTCTTCCATGAACTGAGGAACATTTTCCCTGAAAGGGCTACCTTCAGAGCAGGAGTGATCATTACAGTCATTACAATGAAGGCAGAGGCATGGAGCAGCTGAGACAGTCACCACCAAATGGCCTCCCGCCCTGCTCTGGACTCACACCCACTGGGCTGCTCTTTCTACGTTGTTGTGAAAGGGGCTGTGTCTCATCAAGCTGAGAAGGTGACCAGGAGAAAGAGACAAGCTCATGCTACCACAGATAGAAGACTGCCTAGGGAGGGGGTGGGGGAAAAGAAAAGAGGGCAGCCAGAAAAGGAGGTCTAGCACCTAGCACCAGTACCTAATGAGAAAAGGAGATCAAGCCCCCTGGCATCTGGTGGGCAGTAGGCACACAGCAAGTGTTTACTCAAAGTCAGCTTGGAGACGAGGAGGATGGATAAACACATCAGGCATCAATACAAACATGTTGGACAGAGCCATCCGTAGCTCTTGGAGGCAGAAGAGCTGGGGACTTGGAACAAATGAAGCAGGTAACCCAGAAGGGCTGGATCCAGGGGCTTGAGGCTGCTCCCAGCAGAGCCTTCCCACTGCTCCCTCCACCAGCCCACTCCCTCACCCTGGTCCCCAAGTCCTGCACTTCTCACAATGTCTCAGTCTCTGCTGGTATCCTGGAATCTCCTGGTGCCATCTCCCTTGGCCCCACAGGGAATTCTCCACCTTCCTCAGCTCCACGAAGAATGACAGGCTCAGGCTGGGTCTGATGGGCCTCACCCTCCAGCTCTGCTTCTGTGAACATCTGCAGTTCCCTGTACAGAACACACACGTCGCTGCATGACACGTATTCCCAGCCACTCTCCCGCACGTGGAAAAGGTCTACAGAGCCCCCTGAGTAGGCATCACGGTGGGTGGCGTGGGCCACAGCGCAACGGGCCAAAGTGTAGGCTTCCTGGATGGTCATGTCATAGTGGTAGCCACGGTCTAGCACACCATAGGCATAGGGAGATCCCGAGCCCACAGAGAATATGTCCCCCTGCAAGCGGGTGCCGTCACTGTACACGTAGAAGAGAGCAGGGCCAGAGCGGTCCCAGCCACACAAGGCAGTGGCCACACACAGATCCAGCCCCCGGTAGCGAGACATCATGGCCGACAAGAGCTTGGCTGCGCTGGCCACACTGGGTAGCTGACCCTCCCTCAGGGCCCGAAGCCGCAGCTCCCGCTGCAGCACCCGGTACCACATAGCACAGTCAGCTGAGGTGCCGGAAGTGGTACCCAAGAGGTGCTGGTGCACAGGGATGACCTTGAGCGAAGTTGGACAGGCCACATAGCTGCCACAGGAGGAACGCGTGTCAGCTGCAGCAATAACACCATGCCGGAAGCGGAAGGCCAGGGTGGTGGTGCCGTGGGCCAGCCTAGGGCCATAAATCCTCAGGAAGGACTGAGGGTCACAGCCCCGGGGCACAGCCCAGCAGCCAGCCTGAGGCAAGTGAGGGGATGGTCCCTGGAAGTGGGACTGCCACTTGCACACATCCTGCAGAGCCATCCCTGAGGCTGAGTGAAGGGAGGAAGGAGCAGCACAGGGATTTGTGGGCTGTGGTCAGGTGGGGGAGAGGGACGCTACAGAGAAGCTGGGCAGCCGCCAGAAGCGTAAGCGGAACGCGTGGGCTGCCGCTTCACCTCTCCCCAGCCCCAGTCAGGCTTGGGGATTGACGGGTGGAGCCTCCTCCTCCTCAGAGCTGCTGAGAGGAAACAGGGTGAGGCCAGAGGAGCCTCCAGCCGCGGAGGAAAGATAGATGCTGTCCATCAGTCAGTTCCTCACCTCACCTTGTGCTGCCCGTGACACATCTGAGAGTCACAGAGTCTCCCGTCGGTCGTTCTGTAACCTGAGTGGAGAGGGGGCTGAACTAACTGCAAAGGAGAGGGGCACATGAGGAGGAGGCAGAGCTGCGTCCCTCCTGCTTTTCCTGCCGGACATTGGGCACCCAAAGACAAATAAGGCCCTGCCTCCGGCCTGTGAGGGCACCCAGCCTGGGAGAGGTAAAGACAACTCAGTGAGGGGAGGGAGATGAGGGGAAGGATGAATGAGGAATTAAGATGTATTAGGTACATGTATCAACTCCCCACAGGCAATGTGACCATTGTGTACTGTAAATATGTGCTAATAAAAAATGACAATTGAGGGCTGGGGATTTAGCCCAGTGGTTCTGCCGCCTGCCTCACAAGCGCAAGGTCCCAAGTTCAATCCCTGGTACCAAGAAAAAGAAAAAAGAAAATTGAAAGGGGATAAAAAGAAAACAGTGCTCTGATAGAAGAATGCTGGGGACCCGCTGAGGGGGGGACCCCATCCCCTCAATGCTGGGGAGGTGTGAGACCAGGAGACTGTGAGGCTCTGCTCCTACTTGCAACACATGACCAAGACTGGGCAAAAATAAAATGGACTGAGGCAAACAAAGGAGGAAAAAGCGAGATGGTTTTGTAAAGGGGGATGGAGAGGGTGGTTAAAACAGGCTAAAATACCTTCCAGAAAATTAGGTTACTGAGGGTGGTGGGGAAGGAAAGAACCGGGAGTGTTTGCTCCTCTTCCTCTGCATGGAGGTGAAGATGCCATTCCTGGCAGCTCATGAGGGCGTGGCCAAAAGGGTGTAGTGGCTCCCTCCCTCGGGTTCCCTCTTCTAACAAGTCATTCACGAAGGCAGAAAAGCTGGTTTGTAGTTCCTGACCTCAACCCCATCACACTGAGACCCAGCCCTAGACCAGCCAGGAGCAGTCTAGGGGTAGGGCCGGTAGACCTGCCTGGCCCTTCACAAAGACTGGGCAGAGTGACCAGCTGCAGCCACTTGCAGCAGGAGATGGCGCGGGTTTTCCTAATGCTGCAGATCAAAGTGGTGCTATTGGAAGGAATGAGTGTATTCAAAGAAACACACCCAGCACTAGGAGTGAGCCAGACCCACCAGACAGCACAGTCATGGGGCTGCAGGGCTGTGGTTTCTTGGGGTCTCAATGCCAAGGGCAGTGCAGACAGCCTGGGGACACTGGAGAAACTGGAAAGTGCCTAAGGTCTGGCAGGTCCTTTTCCCTGTGTAGGACCACCTGGGAGTCATACTACAGAGATAGACTAGATCCTCTTTCTAAAGACTAGTTCTTAGGCTTTTTTTTTCCATTGAGGTATTTTATTTGTATATATGTTTTACATCCCTAGAAAAAGAAACCCAGGATTTTCCCTCCTGTGTTTCCATGTGCTTTTTCATGGTCTATGATGTCCACTGAGGGTGTCAACACAATGAAATCAAACTACCAGCCTGGTGGTGCACACCTGTAATCCTAGCACATGGGAGGCTGAGGCAGACAGGCCACACCACTAGTTCAAGGCCAGCCGGGGCTACATAGTGAGTTCAAGGACAGCCTGAATTAAATAATGAGACCCTGTCTCAAAAAAAAAGAAAGAAAGAAAGAAAAAGAAACCATACCAACAGGATGACAGTAGTTTATTTTATCACTTTTCTACCTTTCAGCTGCATATCAAATCTAGGGCTGATCACTCCACATTTATTTAACCTGACTTTAAAGTTCACGCATACAAAAGTTCACAACAAGCTCCTTAGCTGTGTTATCATGGATGATTTCAAATTTGCCACTGTAACCATACTTCAGAATCACAGCTGGATGACTTTGGAGCCTGGCTTTAAAAGGACCTGGCGTCTGCCTTCCTTTTCAGCATTGCTGCTGTTCTTGAGGGCATCAGTCAGACATTCATGTGTACTATTACGGTGGCATAGAAAGGTGACAGAAAGCTAAGTCTTAGACTCTTTAAGGATGGATCCCACCTCCCTAGGTCATGCCATCATTCTGTCAGGTCTGGTCAGCTGAGTGGCCTCCTATTTGGCCTCCCTCCAGCCTCACACTCTAAACCCAGGTTATTTTATTTTATTTATTTTTAAATTTATTTTGGTTACTCTAACCCTCAACATCTGTTTTAAGTACTTTCTATTTTGGAAATCATTCCCAGCTTAAGGGCTGAAAGAGGAGAGGCTGTGGGTTTGAGCAACAAGTGGACCCAGGTGCTAGGACCAGGGATTTAGCTCAGTGGTACCATGCCTGCCTCACAAATGCAATGTCCCAAGTACAATCCCTGGTACCAAAAAAAAAAAGAAATCGCCGGGCGTGGTGGCGCACACCTGTAATCCCAGCACTCGGCAGGCTGAGGCAGGAGGATCACTGCAAGTTCGAGACCAGCCTGGGCTACATAGTGAGTTTCAGGTCAGTCTCAACTACATAGTGAGACCCTGTCTCAAAAAAAAGAAAAACAACAAAAAAAAGAGAAAACATCTAGGTGAGGCAGTACACACCTGCAATTCCAGCACTCAGGAGACTGAGGCAAGATGATTATTGTGAGTTTTAGTCCAGTTTGGGCTACACAGTGAGTTCAAGGCCAGCCTGAAAAATTTAGTAAGACCCGACTCAAAGAAGAAGAAAGGATGAGGGGGGCAAGGAGAAGAAAAAAAAAGAAAAGAAAAGCAATCCAGACCTCCTTGATAAAACCATCTTGGACTCCCAAGTTCCTACCAATCCATTCTGACCTCCTCCCCACCTGCAAGACAACCTTGAAGCAAAGGAGAAAGGAGTAAGGGAGTCAGGAGCAGATTATAGGAGGCCTTATGTGCCATCTTGAAGAGCTTGAAATTTAGAGGACACTTTAAGTAGGTGAGTGATAATATCAAGATGGCATTTTAGGAAAACCAATCCACTGCTGTGGCCAGTGAAATGGAGAGTGATAGTTTAGATCCAGAAAATCAGTTTAGGAAGAAATTCTCAGTAATTCAGGAGTGAGGAAATGAGAAGCCAAAGGTGATTATCAGTTACAGGGGAAAAGAATTTTTCTCTGCAGAAAAATTGCAGAGAAACATTGCAGAGGGAGAATCAATAGGACCTAGAAACTCACCATATATGGAGGAAAGGAAGGGGTGGTGTCTCAGATGAGCTAGGTTTCAAGCTCTGTGACAGGAGGAATATTATTGTCATTCTTTCATGTGTCTGTGTAGCAAATGTGTATTGAGCAGGAGGCATAGAGATGAATAGTAGAGAAATACTTGTCTTTAAAAGCTCACAATCCAGGGCCAGGAGTTTAGCTCAGTGTCACTGTGCCTGCCTGGCAAGTGCAAGGTCCTGAGTTCAATTTCCAGTACTGGGAAAAAAAAGAAAAAGAAAGAAAGAAAAGAAAGCTCATGATCCAGCTAGGTGCGCACCTGTAATCCCAGCACTGGGGAGGCTGAGGCAGGAGGAAATCAGAGAGTTCAAGGCTAGCCTGGACTACATAGTGAGTCCAAGGTCAGGCTGAGCTGCTGTTTCAAAATAAATACTAAATTGATAGTTCACAATCCAAAAATAAATACATAGCTCACAATCCTGGTGATGAGCTTGGCAATGTAACTCCCAGGTAGAATTCTAGCCAGGTACAATATGAAGGTGCCTTTACAAAGGTACAGGTAGAAAATGTTGGTCAAGAGTGAAAGAATCAGGGCGCTGTGCCTGCCTCACAAGAGCAAGGCCCTGAGATAGAATCCCGTTACTGCAAAAAAAAACAAACAATACAAAAAAAAAAAAAAAAAAAAAAAAA